AAATACGGTGGGCTGATGACTTAATAGAAATTGCAGAAAAAGATTGGCAAAGATAGAGTTACCTGGAAAGGGTTGGAGTAGGCCTTTACCCAAGAGGGGTCCTTATCCACAGGCGACTAACATATTACTACTAACAACTCGATACCTGCACAACAGATGGACGTTAAAGATAACACAATGGAGGGCACCACCCGGGAAAAGAAGAACAGCCAAAAACGCGATAAGCTTATGACTTAATATATTTTTAGGTATTATTTCCTGTTTTACAATAGTTGGTAGTTGTTATATTTTAGTAACCAAAAATATCGATTTTGTTACTAGCTTAGCTTCGATGATGTTAGTAATATATATTATTTATTTATGAATTAACAGGAACCCCGGTTTGGGTAAAAGCCTCCTTCAAAGATGCCCATTTTTTGTCGGTCCTGTGCTATGGAGTGCCAGTTTTTGCCAGCTGATCTTTTAAGATCATTTTCCGGTCTTAAGGTCTAAGGGTCTCCCTTTCCTCCTCTTGCCTGGTGGTCCTTTCCATTGGGTAACTCGTTTGGTCCAGTTTCTGATGGACATTCTTGCTACATGGCCAGCCCATTGCCATTTCAGTTTTTGAGCAAAAGTTAAAGCGTTTGTAACTTTAGTGACGGCTCTTATCTTTGTGTGTCTTATTTTGTCCATTTTCTTTATGTTTAACATGCTTCGCTATAAGTAAGCCTTTATTTCCATCTCAAAAGGATTTGGAAATAATATAAGGCTTTATTATTATTATTATATATTGCCTAAGTTACCTTAAACCTTATCAATATTATTAACTTTGTCTTTACGGGCCCTCCCTTTTTCTAAGGTCGAAAATCGCTGTAGTTTAAAAACCTATCACAAAAACGTCGTCTGAAAATTCTGAACTAACAAAGAAAGGGTCTAACCCTTTTCAACCTTTTTGCAAATTGTCGCTGGAAATATGTAGGTACTGTCAAACGTTACTTCTATGAATCTAACTGAACCCTACGACAATGTAACAAGCCGGTGAAGTATGACCTACTTTTAGTAATTTTTTCTATATTATATATTGTAGGATAAGACTGCCGAATTGTCTAATTCGGCAATGCGTTTACAAAGTTTGGTTTTGCTGGTGGGGACTGTTTTGACGCCACGATGCGCAAGCGAGCTGCTTGGGGATTGAATTACGCGTTATTGTTAATATTATTTTCGACGTTCCAGCACTTTACACCACATAATGTAACTTTTAGGTATAAAGTGTCACTGGGTGGTCACGAAACGTTTTACTATTAGAATACAGAATAAGTTACATTATCAATAATCTCCAAAAAGTGTAAAACAAAAAACTTGGCGATTAAAAAGAGTAGCGGAGAGTTTATTGCCAGTTCTTTTCTACCGTTCTTCGCCCTTGATTTGAGACCTGGCTGGAAATGTAAAAGAATTCATAAAATGATTATAATCATTTAGCGAAATTATTAAAGTACCAAATACATATATTTGGTCTAGAAACTTCCGACATCTAAAATTTAAGAGTAATTTCATATAACCCAGAATAATCCCAACAGTCGTAATATTAAAGCCATTCATAGTTTTTTTTTAGCTTTCTTAGTTTTATAAGCGTGGATTTTAATCATGGTGACGTGAGCGCCTTTTTTTATTTTTATTTTTCGTTTTTCATATGACCTGGAGCGTGGTGGTCGCTTTCCCCACAGGAATCAGCTGGATTGGGGAGTATTTTAACTATTAATAACACACATATATGAACAACCTAACCTACAAAACAATTAAAAAAAACAATTCATAATTCCAACAGCAGTATCCAACTGCTATAAACATTCTGTGTCCGCCATGAGGACGCCATCCCACACGGTACATTAATTTAAAATGTACACATTTTATCACATCGTATTTGATACAATTTCCAAGAGCTGAAATCTACGTCATTTATTATTTATTATTATCATAAATTATACTAAAAAATTAAAAAAATATATAATTAAGAAACCTTTAATGTTTTTATACTTCACACAAATATATAGTTTTTAAAATTTTGCCGAAAGAGTGCAGGCCGTTCTCTTTCTCGCCACGCCGCTCTCTTGCCTCCGTCAATGTTCTAGTCATTTTGAACCAACAGGCATCGCTAGAGACGATAGCAAGCGGCTGATGGGATGTCGCCGATCACTGAGAGGATGGGAGAGACATTGGTATGGGATTCTACTTGTGTGGACACGCTAGCCCCGTCGCTCCTCCCTCGGACAAGCAGCAGAACAGGCGGAAAATAATAAGCGGCTCAAACATAAGAGTCTTTCCTCCAACTTCGATTTTGTTCCCTTTGGAGGAGAGACTCTTGGTGGGGTTCAAGTGCAAAGGCGCTAATTAATTTAATTTGGCCTTTTTTTTAAATTTTCAACATTTCTTTACACTGTTTTCAAGATACAATTTATACATACTGTTACAACCTGGTATAGCCACTACTGAAATCACCTGAAAACGGGCTATCGTACTGTAGCTACCCTGAAACTACCTAAAAAATGTTTCAGCCTCCTGAAAACGTAATCTTTATGTAGATTCCGATTTGTTGGTATGTGGTACCTCTCTTGAAATGATCATAAATCACATTTCAGCTTGTTGAAAACGTCGTTTCAACGTTTTCATAACAATGCTAATGATGTTATGGATGTTGTGTATGTTTACAAGATAAACATGCGAAAATCTATTAAGATATTAATTAATAATTTATTATTATTATTAATTATTATTCCTACATAATTATGTATTTACAGCGTATATACGAGGATGCTTGGCGGACCCATGCGACTTCAATACAAAGAGTCCCCTCGTGAGTTGTGTGCTACGATATTGCGGGTTACTCGATTATTAAGTTCTCATGTCATTTTGACAAGTGTATATCCTTTCTTTAACATAGTATCAGTATCTGATTGTCCTCATTTTAACATATATAAGACATAATTTTTAAGTTTAAATTTTACATATATAAGTTATAACACGTTTAACTAATCCAATCAAGTGTGAACATACCAAGTATTGCATGGATCCACGAACATTCATACTTACGCAATATTGCATTATAACATATACAGTGTGAAATGTTTACCACAGTAAGTTTACCACGTAACTTCAAGCGATATTGTCTTTGGTTATTTTGGATGGAAGGGGAGGATCCCCTTGGATCCCCTTCCATGGGAAAAGAAACGTAAGTAAATAAAAGCGATGGCCTGACGCATTATAAAGGTTTCTGGGGAGAGTATGGAGGAAGAACAGATCCAAATAAAAGTTCAAGATGAGGCCTTTACCCAATAAGTCCATACTGCTGAATACGAATGGAAATAACAATAACTAACGTAGACTAAGTGAGAAAACTAGCACCCATCTGATTTGTATTTTTTATTGTACGGAATTAAAGTGGAGACAGCAGAGTGTATATAATAGGGGGGCAAAACGAAATCAAGTTTTCAATCCGCCCGAAAAAATTTTTTTATCTACTTCTTAACAATATTCTTATTTTTAACTTCTAATTTTATTTTATTTACATATTTATTAATTTTACTATACACCTTTAAACAAGACTTCATTACGTACACTAGTAACTTTTTTTTTTTTTTTCTACTGAGTATTTATTACATTCCTTCTTTCTTATTGCGACTGAGGCGCAAACTAGCTGCTGTGGTGTCTGGCAGAATGACCAGCGCTGTGGAACATTCTGCTCCTCAGCATAATGTTGGGCCAGGACCAATTACAGCCACAGGACACACGCATTACACACTTGAAACGAACAGAATGGGAAAAGAGATTTTTTTTAATTTTTTTTTTTTTTTTTGATATCTCTCATTTTCTTTTTTCTTTGATTATTGTTATTTTGTGTGTTTATGTGTGTGTGTTTTTGTTTGTAATAAATGTTATGTCTATGTCTAAACGAACCTACAGAACAATCATAAGAGGCAACTGCCGCACCCACCCATGTTAGTGGATTGTCGGCTACTCTTCAGATATCAATTTTATTTGAGAATTAGCTAGTCAGGGCAGTGGGGCTGGAGGGGTAGTAAGCAATCTTAAGTCAATTTGAGAAAAACCAGGTTAAGGTTAAGCCTTCTTGGTACGCGTATGCATGCTGCATCCATTACTGGAGATCAGCCAACCCTAACTTATATACATTAACAAATGTGCCATGGTGCCATTTAGTCGCGCCAAATTGCCTCGCCATCATGCGTACACCATGTCAGGGTTGATACTGAAGCGGGAACGTCAGTAATAGACTTAGGAGTGCGGATCCCCGACTATGTTTTCGTGTAGTGGACATTTGCAAGAAAGCATACGCAAGAATGGGATTTGTGCTTCGAAGGGCTTCGTTCACTAATACTAAAGCCATCTCATGCTTGTACAACGCTTTGGTTAGAAGTCTGTAAGAATATAACTCTGTCTTTTGGGCTCCGCGTTAAGCTAAATACTGCCTTATGTTGGAGCGCATACACAATAAATTTACACGATACCTCTATAACAGATTGTATGGCGTCTATCCCTACTATCCTTTAATGTACCCAACATTTTTTGTCTTAGGGATGGTGGGCTACAATTAATTATTGGAAACCAGACGGGACTTATTGTTGGCCTACTATGTACCGTAAAGTCTTGCGGGGGGTAATGTGCAACCCAAGTGTGCTCCAAGAACTCAATTTTCTGGACTTATGGGATATGTGCGACGACGGTTATTTGCGACACAACCAGTCTGTTGCACAGATCTCCGTTAACAAAAACGTTGCGCCTACTGAATGCTGTCTCCGACACTATCGACATATTTTTATGTTCGCAGAGGGAATTCACAGTAGCGATATTGTGTATTATGTGTTTAATATTATTAAATTTTATTTTTTCTCGACATTATCGTATTGGCATAGTCTGTAAGGATAAAGTATTTATTAAATAAATAATATTTCAACATACTTTGCTATAATGGTACAGACTCATTTACAGTCTGACACAGCTTGCGCTTATTAAGCCACATTAGTTCCGCGGACCCCAGCATCGAATTCTGCAGCCGTACCCTGAAGGAGCTGGTCACATTTCTTGAAGGACCGCGATTCTGGGGAGCTCTCACCCAGAGGTAAGAAGGTGAGAACAGAACCCCACTTAATGTGGGGCCGAATTGGCGCTCTATACAGTTGTAAGCAAGTCCTGGAGTGAAGTACCGTCTTGCCTTGCTGAGCACACCAAGCTTCTCGAAGGCTAATTTAGCCTTTTCCCTAAAAATGACCGCGAAACTAAACGTACTAAACTAAACATGTCAACGTCAAATATTCCTATGCTGACTGTGGCTTTCAGTAGAGTGTGATCGAAATGTGTCATGATCCATCTTCGATACTCAACTTTATATTTTAAAGTATTCAGTATATCGTGGTCTTTCGCAGAAATTCTAGAGTCACCAAATAAGAATCCGACCATTTCCTAACATCATTTAAAAATATCGTATTCTACTGCTACACACACATCTGTGTCTATCACGTATTACTTTTTGTGTCTGAAATCTTACCGTTTTTATAAAATATATTCAACTTGCTTTCTCATTAGGATATTTGGACAAACAGAAAGAGATAGAGGGACTGGTTTGGTAAACGTAAGTTTATTTAGTGTTAGAGAGAAACCCAACCGATGTTCGAACTCACGACATTGCACACTTTACCGCTACACTAACACACCTCTCAATCAATTAACTTAATGAGGGCTTGTTAAAGAATTTCCTTATATCTTGAGACGGCGAGCGCCTTTCATTAAAACTTTTAACATACATTTACTTAATTAGGCGATTTCCACTTTAGACATAGTAAGTTTTCCAATCCTTTTTAAGTATTTACGAGATTATTACTGAGGTTATTAGATTAGAAACTCTATAATGTATTTGATTTTAATTTGCAATTGCAATTGCCATAGAAAAAAAAATTACAGCAAGTTTTCACGGACTAGAAGGACTGGCACACTTTAATCGCGAAGTACTTTTTTTAAATGATATATACTTACTGAGTTTTAATATTTTTATGAAGAAATTAACAAATAGAATAATAAATATATAGATGTAGGACATCGATTGAGCCATGTCCATCGATTTGATATTATAGTCTTTGATATTGAATAAAGTAATCCATACAAATTCGGCCATTGGAACTAATGTTGAACTGTCTATTGTGATCAAATTTAAAAACGAAATAGGGTTTTATTTCTACACAATTCTCTTTTAAATTATTTTATACAATAAAATAATTTAAGACTAGTATTAAAAACTAAACTAAAAAGTCTCCTCCAAATGTCGCCATTTTGTTCTGCCCCTCGCTGATCCTTTCGTTCTTTTTCTCTTTCTTCTCTTCCCGTGAGTCCCACCTATTGCCATTTAATATTTTGCATATAAAATTAAATATTTATTTTACTTATAAGATATAATAATATTCAGAAATACAATTGGTTATAAATAAATAAATAACCTTAACATATAATAACTACGTATCTGTGTACTCTCAAGTCCCCTCATACCCTGATAAGACGGATGTTTACGAGACGATATCGCGAGATCAGACGCTGTTCGAAGAAAACGTGTCATCGTAATTTATGCGTGGAAAACTTAAGTGCGCGAATTAAGTTCGGTGGCGGTACAACAGTATTCAGATCATCTTCAGCTATAAATTAAACACTTTGTTGGAAGCTGGGTAACAACTGACTAAAATATGTTAACTAACTAACTTAACTAACATAAAATAAGGGGTAGTGGGGTTCCGACGCTAACAAAAACTTACTTGGCTTTTGGACATTATCGGAAACGAGAATGTTAAAATACAATTTAGAGTGTGGTAAAAACAATAATTGCTTACATTTTGTTTATGCTTCTCTTTATTAACTAAATATATATATTTGTATATGTAACTTAACTAATGTTAGGTTACATAACTCGCTTTTGGAATTTATTTATCAAATATATGTACAATGCGGTCAAAAATTAAAAGATAATAAAGGAATATATTTTGGCAAAAGTAGTAGTAGTAGTAGCTTTACGCGAGATTTTATATGGTCAATTTATTTGTTAGAATTGTGTCCCACTCCGTATTTGAATCTTATACGTTTTGTAGTCGAACATGTGAAAGCGAATGAGTAGTTGATATAACAGTCGGTGATTTTTGGTTCTACAATAATTATAGCAAGCTTGGGTTGATTATATATGTCAGTTTAATTATGATAAATACTTGTTACTATGAATAATATATTGTTTCATGAATGTAATTACTGGAGTGATTGATTAAACACTCAATGTGAATTGACGTAAGTTATTTCGTCAGAAGTCTCAATGGACTATCACAAATACATTTCCACATAATACTAGTACACAAGTGCTTGAACTTTGTGTTACGTAATACATATATATATGTTATGTATGACACTTCTAACTCACAATCTTTGTAAGCAATGTTTTATAAAAATAAGAATGATTTATTGAGGCAACTAACGACGCGGGGAGTGTGGGGTTTGCTCACAACCCCACTAAAACCCAAATCCATCTGCTCACGATGACAGAGTGGGTAGGGTAACAGTTTTCCTTAATCCGTGCAAACATGAGTGTCAGCTGTGCTGAGCATCTGCCTATAGTACGAAGGTGAGTGGAGTCAAAAAATCAAAAGTCAAACGGGCGTAATGGGACTTGTGCGTTGTGGGTCGGCACCTGGGTCACACTCCCAAACGCTCTCACGTTCTCTTTAAATGTAACAACGTCCTCACAAATCGCTCCAAAAGTGTTTCATGGGCAGTCATAAGAATCCATCATAGCTTTCACTTTGACGGGAAATGGCAGATACGAAGGTTATACCGATCACGCCATACAAACTTCTAAAATGTGTTGCGCTTTATCTGCAAAACATGTGCAAAACCACACTTGTGACGAATGGGATACGTCTCTCCCCTGGCGATACTTCTTTTTACGTAACAAGGGACAAACGGGCAGGAAGCTAACCTGATGTTAAGTGATACCGCCGCCAGACACTATGAAAACCTAATCTAATCCACCTAACATACTAAGCTTTTTTGCAAGCATTTATTATTAAAATAGACAGACATAACATTTATTACTAACGAAACACACACACAAAATAATAATAATCAACAAAGAAAATTACCAAAAAATTATTGAAAATAAATTGTGCGTGTACTAGGTGTACACACGTAAGAAGTGAAACTTCTTTATGATCTTATTTTTCGAAAAATGATCTACTATATGCAACTTTACAGAAATTTGTTAAATTAGATAAAGTTTAACAAAAGGCTTTTATTATCATAGACATGAATACAAATATTTCATTTTACCTTATTACTACGAAGATTATTATAGAATTTCATTAATTGTAATAGAATTATTACTATCATTGAAAAACGTGACGATTTGCTACAAAATTTCTCCCATACGTCGATAAAGAAGTTTCATTCCAACGCCGATAAAGAAGTTTGACTTCAAAAAGCAACATGGCGCGTAACCGAAAAATGTGACGCGTAACGAAAAAATGTTACACTAAATTTTTTTCCAACCTCGATAAAGAAGTTGCACTTTAAAAAAATAAGGTTACATGTGTATTGTGTGTGTGTGTAACTGGCCCTAGCTCAGAATTATGCTGTGGAGCAAATGCCCATTTCATTGCATTTTCCTAAAGATTTTTTGTATCGCTTTGATTGGTCAGAATGGTCTAATGGAGCACTGAATAGCAAATATATTAACATTCAATAAACGAAGTCAAGGTGATCTGTCTCGTCCATTTCAAGTTTCAACAACTATTAGGTCGAGTGCATAATGTGTGCGAAATATGATTTGAAAACAATTTAAACAATTCCTTATATTTCGAATTCAATTATTCCATTTTTATATATACGGAAACTGGTAGGCTCACCTGATGTTGAGTGATAGATAATATTGCTAGAGGGCTCGCAAGTGCGTTGCCGGCGTTTTAATAGTTAGTAAGTTTTTTTTTTAAATATCGATTCGGGTACTATAATTTAAGTTTATGTTTAATACGACCTCCGAAAGAGTTTAGATCTCTACTAAATTCTTCCACTCTTATCTTTGCTACTATTTTTCATTCCAAGCTATTCATTTATTTCATTTTCCCAGGTGCCTGGCGTCCTCTGCCTTCAGGTCGTTTGAGAAGTATCTGAAGCTAATTTGTGTCAACTTACGTCTATATAATGTACGAGAAATATATTTGCGAAAAATAATTATATACTCGTAATTCTTTGAAATCGTATAATACAAAATTCCGATAAATTAATACAGGTCTGTACAACAACCTGCAAACCTGTTTGTATAACATTTACAGCGTTAGGTTACATCTCCTATAGTCGGTTACTTGTTATGGTAATCAGCGTATTTAACATCGTATATACTAGAAATATAGCTATATTCGGTAAATTTTTTTGGCAACGCTTAAGCATTATGAATATGCGCAGGAGTCATATTAACTTTTTTTTTCTACATATAGAGCATACACAAACTTGAACAGTTGGAGGTCGTATCTCTCAGGGAAGACCACCACCGTAAAATAGTAAAAAAATTAAAAGTTGGTAAAGTTTTGTGTGGTAAAATAATCATAATAGTCAAATAACTTTTACTATTTTTTTTTCTACTAACTATTTTTACATTATTTTTCTTTCTTTTTGTGCGACTGAGGCGCAAACTAGCTGCGGTGGTCTCTGGCAGAATGACCAACGCTGTGGAACATTCTGCTCCTCAGCATAATGCTGAGCCAGGGCCAGTTACAGTCACAGCACATACGCATTACTCACTTTATACGAACCGAATGGGAAAAGGAAAAAATAATTTTAAAAAATTATATTTTTTATTTAATTTTTTTCTTTGATTATTGTTATTTTGTGTGTTTTTGTTTGTAATAAATGATATGTCTATGTCTATATTATCCGTGTGGGGCAGGGGGCAAATGGGTTTGGGGACAGCCCAAATATACCATGAACGGTCTTGGTTCTGCCCTCAAGGAACTTAAAATGCAAAACTTTAGTCACACATTCAGCTACGGATATTGGCGTTCTTAAGGACCTATCTGGTCACCAAACTCCAATAAAGCACATTGTGTACCAAATATTTCGTGGAGTTGAGTAGTTTATGTATAAATTTTGAAAGATCGATACACGATTAAAGGTCAGTACTCACATACGGTATTACTCGATCGAGCTAAACTGTCGAGTAAAACCCATGGCATGGGCTTTCGTCCACACATTGAGCATTGATCTATCGAGTGAGGCGCGCCGTTAAGTATTCACCGAACTGTTCGAGCCAAAGGATGTCTGTGCAACAAAGGAGACGGTGGCTGTATTTAGCAAGCCTCACAGTGCTTTATAAGAAAATCAAAGAAAATGAAAAGAAAAAAACGTTAAGCACAGCTAGTAATTTATCATAACATTCATTTCTCTTATTTTTGTGGGAGTAATCTTTGGACTTGACATTCCATAAACACTCACACTGTCTATATGTGTTAATAGTCTTCTATAGCGCTTTTGGAATAAACTCGCAAATCCATTTCTCTTAAAAAAACGTGTTTCAATCACGATAAACAATACCAGACTGACGCTTGCATCGCGCCACTCGCAGTCACGTTCACACGTTCGAGTCAAGATTGACGGCTCGCTTCGAGTAGGTTCGAAGGAAATTACTTTCATTTAATTCCATCGAGCCGGCTCGGTGCGAGCCTTCGAGCTGTGAGTTTTGCGGTCCACACGTTGATTTTTACTTGACTTCGAGTAAAACTATCGAGTAATACCGTATGTGAGTAGTGACCTTTAAATAACTTCGCTTGATAGAAAAAAATCCAAACAGCCAATTTTTGACTCTTTGAATTCATTTTATGACGAAAATGTATATAGCACATGATTTTGAAATTTACTCGATATATTTATCGCAAGCCAAGTAAACCATTTCAGAAAAAAAAATTGATAATATAACATTAATTTAATGTTTTACATAACTAATTGTTATTACGGGCCTGCGCGCTTCAGTGCTCCAGCTCTCCACTGCGCCCCTCAGTGCTCCAGCTCTCCACTGCGCCCCGCAGTCCACCCCGACACACTGACACAGCAATTCGTGCTGGAATAGGGCCTTAAGGAATGTGAGAGGCATGGCATTACGTGACCGGCCTCCAACAGGTTAAACCGACCTAGTCCCTGGTTCAAGGTTGTTGATATATGGAAGACAGCGAAGCAATAGTGAAACGTTCCTTGACAATACGGTGTGGATATACAAAGGATTGACAATGTCACTTCGCTATTACTTTCTTATATAAAAACTAATATAGGAGTGTCTAAAGGTGTGTACTTTATTTGAAGTAACTATCCTGAACCCCTGTTTCGCAAACAAAATCATGAATCATCAAACTTCTCCTTAATATTTCTCCACTTTTGACAGCCTTGAACCAGTGACTAGGTCGGTTCAACGTGTTGGTCCGTGACCGTGTAAGCCGTCTCCAACGCCGCATCTCTGGCGCGATCCTTTCAGCGCGGAGTCCCCCAATTATAACTACAATGTTTACTTCCCCAATCAACTTATAGGGGTTATAAAAC